AGTGCTACTTTTGAGCACTTTTCACCTCTTTTTCAAAAGCAATCAGCTCTAACTAGCAGAATTGGCAAATAGCACTGCTCACCTCCCCTGTGATCCATTGTAGGATGTCAGTTGTTTATGCACCCAAAATGAAAGGCAACAAGATGGAAAATGTGGTTATGGGTTTTCTCACTTTGACGTGTAAAGGATTTCTCCTCAGAAGCGTGCTATGAGGCTTCAAGAATATCATACACTGTGTTTTGAGCAGGAAGGTATGTGGAAGTTGTGTGTTACTGCAGTATTGTACTTCATTGGTGTTAAATAGTATTCTGTGTATGGCATGTTATATCGCACAGTTAGCCATGTGCCAGGCCAAAACCGTGAGATCCCACGGTTTGTTGAAAGGCAATATATTTATAAACAGGCCTCTGTGTTATGTGTTCTCTTGTTCATCTTCCTTAAGGATATTTACTTTTTATAAGTCCTTCTTCATAATCCCTTTATTTTGATGGAAAAATTGGTTTCATGGTGGTTTAATTCTGCTGCCAGATGTAAGAGGTTGCTCTTTCCAGTGGGCAATAGGTAGCAGGAGCAGTTTTTTTGTTTTTTTGTTTGTTTTTTTGTTTTTTTGTTTAAGGGGAAATGGGAAATAAGAGATTCTGCTTATGTCTGAGCTGACTTTGAGCAGGACATTTAATCCTTTTCTGTCCCTCATCTTCCAACCTGTACAAGAAGGAGAAAGCTGCCTTTATCTCCAAACTCCCAGGAGTGTGTTTAGATTACACGTTCTCTGAGGAAGGGAGAACACCTGGCACTGTAAGGCCCCCTTCTCAAACAGGTGCCATTGTAATACCTGTAATTGGAAGCGTCCTTCACCTGCCTGGCAGATAGCTCCAGCTTGGGAGCTTCCGCACCGTGACCTCTCTCAGGACTGCTTTCTACTAGCTATGCGGGCAAGGTTTCCTATCCTGCAGGAGTATTTGAGAATCTAAAATTTGCCCCTTCTTAAAGACATTCCATTTTGATTTTGATTTTTTTTTCTAATTTTCTGATTGTATAAATTCAGTTGAACAAGCATTTTAATTTTAAAAATGAAATTTAAATTTTTACTGAAATATTTCAACAACCACCTCACTTTTTTCTTTCTATTTTTTTCTTGCTCTTGGAAATAGTCCAACTGGGAGTTGATGGAAGGATGCTCTTTCCCCACAAACAGTTTCAGCTAATCAATATTTTTCCAGTGAAAAATATCTATCACTGGAAGATCCCAGCTGGCACTGGTGATTTCCCCTTTGTGGCTGCTGTAGGGAAGACTGTGCAGGCAGAGACCTGCCTTGCAAAAGCAGCTTACTGAATTCACAGTTAGCAGTAGTACAGCTCTTTTGATGCCTTCTTCTATATCAGTCTGAGCTCTGCACTGCCAATCATATATACTAGCAACTTCCTTTCAAGTCCTGCTATTTCTCACTTTGATATTTCCCAGCAAAGCTGGCTATTTAACTATTAACAAGTCAGTCACTGTGACTGGTTGACTGTGGGACTGTTTAATGGGGATTTTTGTTTGCATTTATATTGTAGCTGAGGAAGATATATGATCTCTTTTGAAATGAGCTATTAACGTGATAAAACAGCTTGGGAACATACAATACCAAAGCTGATGGTTTAATCTTTGCTGGGGTATCTGAATGATGTATTAAATACAAGGGACTGCACTAACGAGTGTTTTGAGCTTTGTAGTGGTATGGCACTAGAACACAGAGCTGAAACGCCGTTACCAGATTTTTCTATAACTGTTTCCTGAAATATGCTTTGCATTTAGTATTCGGAATCAAACACAAGGATGCTATACAAATCGTATGTTTTCCGTGCCTCAAAGATGGGAAATTTCTGAAAGATTGGTATTGGTAAGAGATACACACACACACACACACACACACACACACACACACACACACACACACGTGAATATATATATATAAAATATACATTCACACACACACACACACACATATATATACAGATACAGACAAATATGCACA